TCTTGAATAGTTTTATACAATTTTTATAGGCGTGGCATTCGATTTTAAAGTCATATAAAGATCGGCCTGACTTTAGTCCGAGAATTTATTTCTTTGACTAAATTATTAATAATAAAAACGAAAAAGAATATAAAATTTCAAATTAACTTGATTTAATTAAGTAGTTTTTCGTGATAGGTCTTATAACAAAGTCCAATACAGAGCGACGGTTCATTACGGCAAGTTGGGCAATAGTATCTAGTTTCCTTCCGAACATTTTTCTGTGCACAAACTTTACATTGACGTGTCGGTCCCTTCTTTTTCCTGGTAGGAGGAAGAGGATCGAGGTAATGAAGGGAACTTTTTTTCTCAGCTACATTTAAAAGGGGTGATTGAACATTCATATAAGTGTAACGTCTTTCACCTGAGAAGGTTATTACGAAACTACAGTTGAAAGTTGAAATTAGTCGTTTGGGAGTTGAGAGATTGGCAGTAGAGAGACGACCATCTCGAAGAACAAATACGATTAAGATGATCTACTGTTTGGAAGATTTCGCATACTGACTTCAACCGATAAATCGAATTTTTGGCCCACATAAACAATTCGATACACTCGCTATTAAGTCTTTTAAATATCATTATTATTCTTTAAGCAGTAAGTATAAATAAAAGTTAATTTTTAGTATTATTATTGTACTTTATTTTGACCTAAGAAATCTAAGAAGTCTATGGCTAAATGACCACTAGCAATCCAGACTTCCGGCTCTTCTTTTGATTATAATTTAAAGTTGTTCCTTATGAATGCATTTTCAAACATTTAAATTTTTGCAAACATCGTCGTCCAAAGAAATATCACCACGCGTCCGCAACAAATCGCAAACAGTGGCACGAAAATCTTTTAGGGAATTCTGCTGAAGGTCTTGGTTGAAAACCTGAAGTTGGAAAGAAGTAAGTTTTACTTTCCTGTTTTTTTTTTTGTGGCATAAATGCAAACTCACCTTGTCATAAACAATGGTTGGCACAAAATTCACTTCATACAAATTGGTTATGCGTTCTGCTTCCAATTGCAAATTGATGCCAAGTTGAGTATTCACGCAGTCATCGATGTTGCTGGGCAAGCCAACTAATTCAGAGCACTAGAAAAAGTTATATTTTTATTACATTTATTTATTTTTTTATATATTTTTGCTTATTCATATATACAGAATTCAGCTGCAGTGAAGAAAATAGATAATTCGAATTATAACCGGCGAAAAGGTTAAAAAATAAATTATGTAAGAACATGTTTTCACAACATGTCTACAACTAAATTAGAACAAAAACCCTCCTATATTCAAACTTTCATTCAATCATTCCATCATTCAGTTCCTCATACATTCATTCATTCATTCATTTATTTATTCGCACATTCGTTCAATAGTTCAATAAGATTAAATGCCAATATTTTCAAAGAGATATATGAATTAATCCCGTCTCGGACTTTCAAACATAAGAAGAAGAAATGCGCTAAATAAGAACAATCACAGGGAGTGTTTAATTACTTCATATCTGTCAGACAAACAAGAAATACCTTTTTTTTGTATTGGTGTTCCACTCCTTCAAACTTTTGACTTCATCTACCCGATACATAGCTTTATAACGCGATGACCTTCTTCAAATATATATAAATGAATTGAAACTTGACTACTGTTTTAGCAAAGACTGGAAAATTTAAATTTAATGAAGTTCGACTGCAAACCAGGTTCCAGATTAAATATATTTATGAGATATCTTTCGACCCTTCCGTGGATAACTTAACAAAGGTGAAGAAGATTCAGCTGAATTGCGTAATTCATACAGTTGAAGACTTAATTAACCTAATTACAGTTCAAGTAGAAAAAATCTTAAAACTACGACAATGTATACAAACAAACAACCAAAGTGACATAATTACTCATCAAATTCACCCACACCCTATTATAAAACTTCCTTTCGTAGATATGAATCAGTAAAGTAACGGATTGAAGTGCAGCTCATTAATAGGATTTAACTATTAGTTTACAAAAAATGTCGGCAGTACTCGGGCATTAAGATGCGTAGTCTTAATAGAAGCAACACGATCCGATAAGAAAATTAAATTACAAATGTCATTTAGATGGTTACAGAGAACCCTAAGTGGTTTAAAATGCTCATAAATTAACCTGCATTGGCTAAGTTTTATAAAAAGAAAGTTGCTTGTCGAGCGGATAGAAACGTCAAAATTAATCGCATAAAACAAAATCGGCTAGTCGATGGCGCCATTAATCAATTTTACGATGAAAGTAATGCTTAATACCATCCAACGGTTCTCTACTTACGATAAGGATATAAACGCCGACCTATTTTCATTTCAGAAGGGAAGGCGACACATGAATCCCAATCCAAATTTCTTCGAGCAAAAAGCAGAAATTGCTTCTGCAGAGATTCTACGGAATTCGCATGGCAACGATACGACCTAGACGTATTCCAATGCAGGTCGTACTAAGTCAATATATATAGTCTTCCTGTCACGTATAGGTCGTCAAATTCTCTCGACCAGCGTTTGATAAAGCCTAGCACTGATCCAGTTTTATTAGTAGAATGTTCAACATGCAAATTGAATCGGAGTTTATAGTCAAAAAAGATGTCTAGGTCTTCAAAGTAACCCATGCTTTCCAATGTAAGTGAGTCTATAAAATATTCGGTTGCGAACAAGTTTCGCCTCGAAAATGACAGCTTCTTACATTTCTTTTGAATTAACCTCATGAAATTGAAGTAACATCAAGTCAACAGATTATTTAAGTCGGGTTGGAGGAGACATGATTGAATTTCCGAATTAATATGAAAAAATGGTTTGACGTCAGCTACGTACATTAGAATACTAGCTAGATTCAATAGCTGGGGGGAGATCGTTGTAATCTATATAATAAACAGAATCGGTCCCAAATGATTTCCATGTGGGACACATGAAGTTACAAGAACATCTTCTGATTAAGAAGAGTTAAAAAGCACCCTAAAGGATCTAGCACTTAGAAAGGAGAACATCCAATCAACTAAATATGATGGAAAATCTAAGCTAAGTCTATAGTTGATTCCATCAAAGGCCTCGCGTAAATCAGTGTAAATAACATCCGTCAATGCGCCTTTATAAAAAAGGCCTCAAATACAGGGCAAGCAAATTCAAGAAAGGTAATGGTGGTCAACCTAGCTTTTAAAAATGCATGCTGGGGCAATAGCAGATTTTATGTGAAGTTAACACGAGACGTCATAATGCACCCAAATAATTTAGATAATGCACTAAATTTGGCAATTCCTTTCAACACGATGCATACTACTACTTTTATAAAGTGGGAGAATAAAACTAGTCTTCCAACAGAAGATTAGCTACTTGAAGAGAACGATTGAAAATGAATGCCATAAACCGTTGCATTTCAACTGCTCAGTTTTTGAGAACATGGGAGAGGAGCCCATCTGGACCCGGCATACGACTAAACTTTAAGGACTGTAAGACTTTATCGTCCGAGATAATTATTGTCAGGATGGATATCCACCCATTTAGCTTACGGACATCGACCGGAGGGGTTAAAATTCGTAGAGCTGCAAATATTTGTAAAAGCATTGAACTTTTCTGGTAATAAAGAGAGAGAAAGTTTACCTAATCTTTTGTTAACTTTAAAATATTTATTATTGATCATAAAAGTCATTGCTTTCGTTCATAAATAATAGAAATAATAACGTTATTAATGGCCTTCAAAGCCCCTTACCTCTTTCACATCGTTGTCATTCCAGTGTGTGGTCATCTGACAAACAACAAATTTCACTTGTGCGGTTTGATTGGTTGTTTGATTTATAACACAGGATTGCTTGAGATTACCTAAGCATTCTGCCGGACCATGTTGACATACGAATTCCTTGCCATCATTAACGGACTGAAAATACAAAAAAAAATATATATATACATATTTACATTACGATTATTTTAAACGCCCAATAAAAATTGCTTTTTATTGAATAGGAGATATAAATAAAAAGCACTTGCTTTAGCGTTACCAAATGGAACCAATTTAATATCGATGAAATCTCCTAGCTCGTCATAATTTGGACCCAACTGATCTTGCAAAAAACGTTTACTGTCTGGACACAAGGATTCATACAAAACCAAAACATTCAGCTGTTGTAATTTATAAAAGATCAGATTAAGAAGATCAAGATAAAAAGAAACGAATGAAATGAAATAAAAAAAATTTAGAAAACCTTTTCTTCGATAACAGCTGCCGTTACGCTTAAAGTTAGGTATGTCGTCGCCACTGCGAAACACAATAAAATTGAACAGGTTTTTAAAGCGAACATTTTTTACTAAATTGATTTTTCTTAAACGTAGGATCTGGCCGCTAAAGAACTTCTTCGACGTGTAATTTTCTTTAAACTCTTGAAATGTTCAAAATTTCAATTACTATTTAATGGTTCACCTTATCACGGTACAACTGAATTTATTTACTATTCACATGATTTTATAAAATATTTATACTTACATATACATGTATCTGCATATGCAAGCAATTACGTGCAGACGTTTTAAATATTTTATGTCCATTTGTCTTAAGTTATACTCTATGTATAAAACATAGCCAAAGAGAATTCATTAATCGCTAAGAAAAACAGGGAGAACTTGAAACAACTGATAATAAAATAAAATACGTATTCTAATGAACAGTTGCCGAGAATATCGGTTTCTATTAATAGTGTGTTGCACACACAAATTACGCACTGTCCAGCATAAAATGCTCGGGGAACAAGAATGCGGAGAAATATTTGTACATCGAAGGGCATTTCCATAGTCCTGGCATTGCAGACTAACAGAAAAAAATGGTAAAAAATGTATTATTGGAAGTGTATATAAATATGTTCGTACCGTTTTCTTTTTGTGCTCAACAATGCAAATATTTCATAACAAAATGCCTGATCAGTAGTTTCTCTTATCTCTCAAGCAATTTTCGAATTCCATGTCCAAAACAGATCCCGTCTTTCGAAGCTGCCTTCAAAAGAACCCATATCTGGGTATCGTCATAAGCACACTTCGAGCAAACAATATCTCATCATACTGTTAATAGCAGTGGCAGAGTAGGACTTTCAAGTTCGCATTACAAACACTTCTTCATACATATTTAACCACCCTTGCAAAAGAAAATCTCACTAAAGGACTTGTGCGAGACTAAAATAAAGAACAAATGTTGGCAAACGGTTAGAAATTTAATATAAAGGATAATTATTTTAAATTAATTTTTATAAATAATAATAAATAGAAAATAATTTTATAAACATATATCACATTAGCATACATTGACAAAATATGTCAAATATTAATTTGAAAAATGTCCTGTTTTTTTTAAGTAGAAAAGCATCATAAAAAAAATCAACCTTTTTTATTTTAGTGTGGAAAAACCATACATAGAAATGAGACCAAGCCTATTATAATGAAGAGTAACACAATGTAAGGACACATACGCAACAACAATGTAAATAATTGGTGAAGGTTGCAGCAACAGTAGTAATAAGAAAATGATTTGCCTTTAAGGAGGATAGTTGTGGCAACAACTTGAAAGAAAATTTTTTTTTCTTTTTAAAGTTTAAAGAGTATCGACCAGCCCATATCGCGCTTTTGCTTTTTCTTTCTCTGTCTCAAGTTTGGACCACACTTGATTCACTTTTCGAGCTTAAATCGGTGCAAAAAGCAATTCTGAATCGCTCTGTTTAAGAAAAGATGGGTCCATCTCAAGTCCTTCTGGGTGTTGTTTACATCCGCAAAAATTTAATATACCTTCGCACCATAAAGGGTATATAAAGAGCACCTTTTCTTTGGCTGAAAATTGAAGTTTTCCATTGAAACACTCACACAAAAATTAATATTCTCATAAACCCTAGGTATTCATTCCTTTAGCTATAAGCATCTATAACAAACGATTTTTTCTTCTCTACCAAAATAGACGTAGGGCGTAGAGTTTCTTTAATTGAAGATGGCTCAGGAAAATGATTCCGGCATTACGTAGGCTTCAGCCACTCCTTTTTTCCCCCTCTTTTCTTTACCCATCACAGTGTTGAATAGACGACAATGATTGTTCGTTTAAAAAAAAAAAAAAGTGCCATTATCGGGGATCATATGCGATTCCTGCGCAGATGATTGTTTGATTTTCATATGCTTCTGTTGCAATCATCTTTCTAGGCCATTGAGAGAGGTATGCCGACGGATTCAGCCACTAATTACATTCGGTTGCATGATGTAAGTATTTATCGCATTGTTTTCAATACGAGTTTACCTTTCCGATGGAGCACGCACCCTAGTTAGTAGTTGCTGCATGCCGTTTTGAAAATCTAATTTTGGGAAAACGCCATTTAAAGAATTCATGCGTATTAGGGATTTATTCTTTTTTTTTACCAAAGCATTGGTCAAACTGATTTTGCAAATTTAGAACGTATTTTCTTAGAATGTTGATCCATTTGCAAAACGCAATTAGGAACAAATTAAAAAAAAATAATGTTTTTTTGTAACCATCTGTGCCTCCTTCCACATGAGATGCGGAATTTTATAACGTTAATATTGCCAAAGTTGAAAGGGGCTTGTTAGAAACATACATCGTGAAATTTGTGAACAAAAAAAATATTAAACTATCAATTTGCAAATACACATATGGAAAAGTTATCACGAAGTTAACCCATCTTTTATGCTCATGTGATCATTTATAGTTCCATTAATCTATGAATTTCATTTAAATATAAAAACGACATGGGCTACTCAAGCTCTTTTAGACATTGCTTCGCATCAATTGAATTTACACTTTGGTCATTAAGCTTTTGTTTTTTAAATAACTCGATTAATTTCTCGGTAGCAGATTCTTCAATATCCAGCGGCTGAGAGTCATTGGTATTTGGATATGTAGTTAAATTGGTATCAGGACTTTTGAGCGTAAATGGTGTCCATGGTCCTTGTATGGACGGCACATCTGTATGCCACATTTTCCTTAAGCGCAAAGAGCTGGAGGAACCATTTTGTGTCTTCAATAACTGCATCCATTTAAGAATTTCATCTTTGGTATTATTGCGGCAATTAAGCCACTCACGATCGCCATTAACTAGAATTATAATACATTTTGCTTTAATTGTATTAAAAATCTACGTCGTTTACTAACGATATTCGCCCACTAAAACTGGAGTTCGATGACGGCGAGGCTTTACGTACACTACAATTCCGGGATTTTCCTTAGCAAAATCTACCAAATGATTTTCGAGAAATGCACTGAAATATGATTCCTGTAATAATTTTTCGAAATATATTTAAATGTATTTAGAAATACCGCATTCCTCTGCTCGAGCCATGATGTTTGCAAAATTTTAAGGTAACGCGTTGCAATTGACAAACGTACCGTCCTAAACCGTTTTGTAATGGTGCACGTGGAAAGCCTGATTTGAGGAACAGATGACTATTGGACATTTTGTTAGCTGTTTGTTAATATTTTTATGTTTATTAATCTTTCCCAGAATTCCTCTTACATCACGTTAAAAACTTAATCATGTTAAAAAACGGGGTTGTTATATTAGCAAAATTTGATAGGATTGCAGGAGAGAAACTAAGCAAACTTGATTGTTCTTTTTAAATAAGCAACTTACATGCGTATAAAGTAAACATAAAAACTTTTAGTTATATTTAAATTTCAGAAAAATAAAATTATTTTCTATTAAAAATGAGAACAAACGGGATTCTGGGGATTCTTTTTGTACAAATTCACATTTTTTCAGAGTTTGGTAACACTACCCGAAAATAAGAAAAACAGTTTTTTAGTGGAGAACGAAAACTACTGATAAGGAAAAAGCCGCTTCTGTTAAGATTTGAAAGTGTTTTCTGCAGGAATCGAACGAATTCAATACTAAGTGAAATCGGCTTACAGTTAGTTATTTTGTGCGCTTTTTATGTCATCCCCAAATAGAAGTTTGCTAGTTCTATAGTGAAAGTTGAAAGTGGTTAGTGATTTGCTTTGACGAGAGTGGCGTCGGTAAAGTGAGTGCGATGCAGAGTTATAAAAAAAGCAAAAAAGCAATAAAAGAAGCTTACAATTAGAAAATGACAAATTCGAAAACAAGAAAGACAGGTAAACGTAGCACTCGCAATAGTGAATTTAATCAAGAACATGTCACTATGAACGACATTGAGAGGGACGAGTTAGACGGTGGCCACTCCGCTTGGGTCTCAAAAGATAACAATTGTACTACGTCAGAGTTTCTCGATGACGATGATGATGATGATTCGGACGAAATTGTTCATGATGATGATACCACCACTACATTTAGTTTACAAGAATGTATGGACGAATTTCGAGCACGTCGTATTAATCGCATATCGTCCCAATGTCGTCATACTAGAGAAGGCAAAGAAAAATTGCTAGGCGACAACCTAGATGAAGACCTAGATTTGATAAATGAAAATCTCACTAATAAAGAACAAGAGCGCAAATGTAAGCCATGCAAAGATGGATTTTGTTATTGCTTCACGAGCGACAGTGGTGAAGGAGGTGGCAGAGGAACTTGTCAAGCATTACGCCAACCTCGACGCAACAGACGCTCTGACATAAATCAGGTATGGTTTCTATTAAGTTAATAAGTATCCAGGTTGTAGCAATAAACAGCAGCACTTTTTCCCGAATCGTTGGGCAAAAATGTTCTATGAAGAAACGTAAGACTGCTAAAGAAACAACCATAACGTTTTTCCCTTGCACATGTATTTCTTTTATTATTATTATTATTTATTTATTTCTTTTTTATTTCTCATTTTTCCGACCTGTTGAAGCAGAATAAGAGCTTAAGTAGACGTGGTGATGAACCACGTGCTTCAGCAAAAGCAAAAGTCCCTCAAAAATATGAAAATCCAGCAAAAGCTCTTAGCTCGGCCAAAAGAAGCAATGATGCCTTTTTTACGGCAACTAGTCATCTAGAAGCGAGTGGAAAAGATGAACCTCTTATCCATATCATACAAGAATTAAGAGGCAATTGCGTTATTTCTAAGGTACGTGTGAACAAGCATAAAGTACCGGGTAATCTACGCAGTATGAAAAGCACAACACGTTCAACTGAAAGCAAGGAGGCTTTGTTTATTCCCATTGAGCCTCGCCCAAAAACCCAGAAAGGAACTTGTCATCGAGCACCTTTTGAGCCGCATACACCAACAGCTCCGCCTTTGGAGAAAATTTCTGAACGCGAAACACCGGTTACCGTCACCTCTGGTTTAACCGGCAGGACCCAGCGCAGGCATAAGTCAGGAGGCACCCTTCTGAAAAAAAGGCTTTCTAGTACCGCACAACGTACGTACAAATCGCATAACATAAACGAACCGCCCCCAAAACCACCACGCAGTTCCGTAAGTTTTGAAGAGAAGTCTTCTGCCGTCACTTTTACTTCAACTTCACCATCCGTGCGAGAAGCAGAGCGCGTGGTCGACGAATTTCTAGCTAAAAGAGGCTATGTATATGGGGCTGATAGTAACAAAAAAGAAAGCACCGAAATTTTTCGAAAAAAAGGTGTTAAGCCAAAACGAAGCCAACAGATGCTTACAAATAATAACTACGGCTCAGATAAAAAGTCAGATCCATTAAGTAAGTTAATAAGCAAGTGATATTTTCTTTCTCTCTCTTATAAAAGTTTTAGTTAAAGTAGCGAAACTGTAGACTTTTTTACATTTAAATAAAAAATAAAAGTTCTTATGAAATTTGTGCAATAAAGACTTAAAGACTTCAGCTTGCAATAATGTGTTTAATTCAAATATATTCTTGAATTAATTTGTTTTTGTTTTTCTTTTTCCTTTTGTTTTTTCAATTTGCTCTAAAGGCAAAAAAGACAAAGGATCGAAAAGACTACAGCCACAGTATCCTTCGCTAAGTGATATTGAACAAGAGTCAAGGAGTTATGGAGAAAACGAAAAGCATATCAGTGAATTGAAAGAGAAGAGAACTAAAGACATTTGCATTGGTTGGAATGAACCGAAGATCAAAGAAATGCTTAACTATGATTCAAATGCAAATCGAAAACAATTTCGATCAACGGCGACCCAAGCAGAGCCGCAGCAACCTTTCAATAGTCACAAAATAGATTTGGACACAGTTGATGGTGGCGTTAAACGTAATCTGGCTACTAACATCGAAAACAAGGATACGCCCACAAAATTCCAATTATTAGGAACCCCGCAAAATGCCAAAATGCGTTCATCGTCTCAAAAATTCATATGGTCGGAACAGTGGCGCAATTTATCACCTTGGTCAAGTAAGCAAAGTCACAGCAACAAGCATAACGAAAGTGCTAAGAGTAATTTAAGCTCCAGTTCGAAAGCGTTCTTAAAAACTTCTAAACAGAAGATATTGCGACTGGTCTCGCCGAAAAAGGAAAATAAGGAACGCATAAATATGCAAATACGCAAAACCCCAGGACGCAACGTCGGTATACAAACTTCACCACAGAGCTTGAGGCGAGCGAATTCTCTATCGCAATCACCTCCCGGTAGTTATCACTCGCCGGCTGAATCAGTCCGTAACACCATTACGAACAGTCGTGAGACGACTGCACGCTTCAACTTTAATCGTATCGTTCATTCGCCTGTGAAAAAAACAACTTGCTGTAGCCACCAAGCTGCCATGTCTTCTGATCTTAAACGTGGTAAAGTTTGTGATAGCAATGGAACTCAACTGAAAGAGAGGACTTATCGATCTTTCAATACTGACCTGGATCAAGATGTTACACTTTCTAAGATGAGTTATATTCTCAGTAACATACGTGCCAAACTAGAGGCAAACGATCAACACGCGATCCGCACATTTCAGGTAAGTGAAATAGAAAATTTTATTTACAAGAAATAATCGATTGTATAAAATTTATGTCTGTGTTGTGTTGTATTTGTTAAAACGAAGACTGGCAAATGCACTTTACTATTATTTCTATATTTCTAACGTATTGAAAACGAAATCGCTAACGAAAAATGGTCGGAACCGAGAAAGGTGTTTGGTATTTTTCCGATGTTCATACACGATTCGGCTGTCGGCAGTTTATAGGTGCTTTCTATTGTTATCGATTTTTCTTTGTCTTCCGCGATCGATTTTAATATGTAATCAACGGTAACCCACTCATCTTGGAACGTTGAGACCGCTTCACTTCCAAAATCAATACTTTCCATTTGAAAAAGGTATTCATTGAATTTACGTTGGGCCACTAAGAATTTATAAGCGTCGGTATTAGGTGTAAAGTTGAAGTCTCCCGCTAAAATTGTGGGTAAGCGAGAATGTTTAGTCCGGATTGCAAAAGAAGCCAGCGCTCGTAACAATACCCCAACCTGTGAAATACGTACATCTTCACGTCTTGGATTGTAAAGCAAATGAGTAGTTGCCACAATGAATTCCGTTGTTGGGTCGTTTCGTACCTGAAATTTAGCCATTATAGCGACATTCTCACGATTCAGTGTGGCTACGTCATTAGTATAATATTCCACACATTGATCGTCATCTAATTTGAATTTGTTACTATCATAAATGATCGCGCATCCATCCGTACGTCTACCTGTTTTCTTTTTATATATATATTCAACCTTACGCTTGTGGGACAATTCTTGAACAAAACTTTTCAAATGATTGTATTGCATCTCTTGTAGACACAATATATCCGGTTGCAATATCTCCAATTCCGATTTCAATTTTTCCAGACGATGCTCCCAATGAAGCAATTTACTGTGAATGCCTTGGTAAAGTTGCAAGTGCTCTACGAGAAGATCTTGAGCCAATATGTTGTACGACACTAGCCTGAATTGATTTGGCGCCTTGTTGGCATCACGCGGTTGGGACAATTCCATTCGATTATATGTAGGTTCCCAATAGCGATACATTCCTCTCGTTAATATCGAGTTATGTTTTTTCCTCTTCAATTTATTTGTTTTCGAGGCAAGTCCTCGTAGTGTTGTTGATTGTTTTAAAAAAATGCCTGTCAAACCACTAGAATGCAAAGTACTAAACATTTCAGGAGCACCAATTCCGTTAATTAATGGAAATATGGCATGAGATTTCGCATTAAGAATATGTGGAAACTTTGCTTCGTGCTATTTGTTGTTATATTTTGCTAAACCATCGAAACTAATAATTTGTAAACCGTAATCCGAAAAACAGCTGATCATTAAATGTTTTAAGTAAATGACAGTCTGCTGTACCGTTTTGTTTCAAAAACCGAGTGTTTCATACGATATTAAAACCAATTTTCTTGCGAAACGTACGCATGGGCAACTATTTAATAGTTGATATGCTATTCGTTCTATTTTTTAACCTTAAATAATATCAAGTGCAATAGACGTTTGTTATATACTTATATAACATATAATCGCGGTTGAATATCTCATCGTTCCAAAAAATTTCTATTGAAATTACTTGTTCCGGTAGGACATCAGCGTGTATCAATGATTAGGCTGATTGAAAAGTTTACGGATATATGATTTTAGTGCAATAGAGAACTTTCAATCCTTATATGATCAGATTCCAAGTCAATCCGTTAGTTTAAAACAAAAGCAGTAACTTAAAGAATACATGTCAGAGTTATTTTTAAAAAATGGAAAAATTTTAAAAATTAAACTGTAATAAAATTTTTTGTAGCAGCGTTTTAAAAGCAAGGGAAATCCATAGTAAAATGGTAAATCTGTTAGCGTAGTTTGCTTCTTAAAAAAAATAATGTTTTGCCAGCGAGCAGACAAGCTTCAAAGTAGTCGCGGAACATCATGCAACTATTAACTAACAATTAAGTTCTATGCGGATTGTGGTGGTGAATGGCAAAAAAATTCATTGGGATCAGCCATTTTTCTAATGGAGACGAATGCTTCATATGATTATGAATTTCACATTTTGTCGGCATTTTGTTAGTTGATCAAACAACAGTAGCAGCAGTGCATTATTGCAAAGTTTAGTAAGAGACACTCGTAAGAGTACAAAGAACCCACTTTTCTTGACAGAATAAAAAAAGGCATTATATATCGCTTGCAAGCAATCCTGGAAGTATATTGCCCAACAAGCGGACATTTTCTCATTCAGCATAAACATATTTCATTATTTACTTCTCTCGAAGCTCTCAATTACGTCCTATTATGTGAGAAACCATTTTCGTTATCGATGATATTTATTATAGAAAAGTTTAATAGTAATTTGCTAGAATTATTAATAAAAATGATGGTTTAATGAGTTTTTTTTTTTATTTTTTATAATTTAAGGAACTTGAAAGGCGGGATATTCGGTATTCTGGTTTTGACTGTACGGATGGTGAGCACAGAGATCGACAACGGACTTGTGTTCAAATACATACTGATTTACCAAGAGCTCAAAACTTTGATCTCTGCAATGAACCTATATATTCAGAAATCGAAGAGCACAGTATCCACGTATTGGGAAGTCCTCACTATGGTAATCATACTGGAGTACAAAAGTTAAATGAAAAAACTAATCCAGAGGATCTATACGCCAAAGTTAATAAAAACAAGTCTGCCAGGACCACTGTTGCAAAATCAAAGCCTATTGCTCTTGGAAAATTTTTACATGACTCTTTACAACAGAAGAACTTACAGGGAGCACAGTTTGAGCCGAGTACAAGCGAAAGGAAATTAGTAAGAAGAGGGACACAGTCACGATCAATGAATAATGTATTTGTAAGAGAACATAATTCACCACCTAGAAGTACGTACGTCAGTAAATCAGAATTATCGCTATATCGTAGCGATCTATTTCTGGCAAACTTGTGCAGAAGTGAATTGATTGTAGACGATTTATTTCAAGAACGCTTAGTTAGAGTAGAAAATGTAATTTAAATCTGACTAACCAAAAATAACGGGTTCGAAGTAATTGTGTTATTATTTATTCCAGGATAAAAGTAATCGTAATAATGAAGCCGATTACCAACTTTTATCGAACGACAGCGATCAGGTTGCTAAGTTGGAATCAGTTTCAATGCGCAGTAATTCAGTTTCGTATGCATCCCCTAATAATGATACGTATGCGGAAAACGATGTAAATGAAAATTCAACTACAACTGACAGTAATCTGGGCATGAGCGCCATTGCTTCGCCTTCGTCGCATAACCAAAGCACTCCTAAGAAGCAAAAATCTTTTACGACTAAGGTAGAATTTATTATTGATTAATTTTAAAATTTTGGTATACGAAGGCTCTATTACTGGCTGCATTTCCATTTGCGTTTTCTTTTTCCATTCCAACTCTTATTACTAAAAACACTTTCATCACAATCATAACATTGTAAATAACTGTGCACCTAGTCACAGGCATCCTTTCAAATAAACGAACAAAAGCTTTGCTTGTAGCGAATTTGCGTTTAGTTCTTAATCTCATTTATAAACACTACTAAAACGTATTTATACAACATAGTTTTTCTTGGTTTAGGGTGCTGTATTCTCGTCTTCCTGGTTTGGTATATCTATATATGTGATGCTTCTCTAACTTTATTTTGCACGATTTAGGATTCGACGTTACGAAATGAACCTGATGACGATGGTACCCATGCTACACTGATGACTAGAAGTGAACTTAGCTGTAGCCAAAATGTATCGATTGAATGTGCCCGCTTACATGATCCACCTAATTCGACAACACAGAGTTTAAATAACTTTTCTAGAAGTCAGTCCTACTGTACAGCGTCATCTCTTGGCAAATTTATTCGTTACAGACGAATGAAGAATGTTTTGCAGAAATCGTTTCGGAAAAGTAAACACTTTGTCCGAACCGAGGCAAGGCGTCTCTCCATGTCATTTAGTTTTTCTGGAGTGAAAGACCGATCTACTACTTCGCGGCAAGAATGTGGGCCAGGAATGCCAGATTCTTTTAGGAATGGCTGTGACTCATATTCGCTCGAGTCAAATCTGTATTTGGAAACATTGTTTTCGTTGGACGAAACTGCGCCGGTTACTGAGCAATTAGCTAAGGCCGTAAGTATATGCCGTCTGGTACCCGAATTGGAAGTTTCGCCAGAAATGGTAGAGGCGGAACGTCTGCTTCTCTACTCTACTTTGAAATTCGAGAGACGCCTCTTTGAATTGAAGCCGCCCTTAAAAGGCGATCAGGTGTTAATGCGTTTTTATATTGACGACATGTTTTTGAAAATTCATCCAAACGGCAATCAAGACATGTTTTTTAATTATTTTTATATTGTAACATTTGAATGTGGTGGTGTTATTAAGTCTACACAATCAGTGGAATATCAAAACGGTTGTGTTTCGTTTACTGATTGCGGCATAGAGTTTACTTTGTGTCCCACAATCATGCAAGCGCGTTCTGTTGAAGAGGAGCTAACGGTTCGTTGTAATATTTTTATGCTGCGTTTGCGCAAAGTTTCAACACTTTCGCTCGAACCAAGAAGATCGACTTCGGTAAGTCTCCTTTAGTGCACATGTTTCCAAGAATCTTTACATTTTTACATGTGCGAAAATTTTATTGATAAATTTCTCCACAGAAATGGAATGCTAGTTGTGCGTCGCTCTCCTCATCCACGAATGAAATTGTGTCACGCTTTCGTTTAAACGCATCATTTTCTTTAAATGCTTTGGACTTGGCACCTTACGAGTACGTACCTCAGGAAACAAATAATTCAGAACGCCTATGTCTGCGAGCATCAGGCACTTGTAACATTCCGCTCGTCCATCAGACGACTTCAAATAATTTAAAAGAGGACATTCAATTGAACGGTCGCGCAGAGATTCGCTACCCTAAAAGGGCCAAGAGTGGTTTTCTTAACGTCGAGGATCCCCATACGCAGCATAATTGGAATCGTCGCTGGTGCAATTTGGATGGCTTATGTATGCGCGTGTGGCAAGATGAAAATTACATTGATAAAGCACCTTTATTAAGCCTGGACTTGCGTAACACTTTGCCAAACTTTCAATTGCCTCTGACAGTAGCTTATCCTGACTTGTGCGCCCGACCGCGTTCATTCTGCTTACGTTATGATTTAGATCCGCAACCAAATGAATGTTGTGCAACGAAAGTGTTCTTCTCAGCCGACAATCAAGAGGCACTTACCAGTTGGTTGCTGCACTTAAACTTTGTATTGGAATTCCTTAGCAAATGGGTTAGACCGCGCTCGAATTAAGTCTTAAATGTCTTGGAAACTTGCCTTTATATATTACATACGTATATGATGCGTATATTTTGTTATTATTTACGTTTAAAGGAAATTATATTTTCCGCGTATATTTCCTAATTATTATCATTATTATTATCATTATTATTATAATTATTATTATTATTATTATTATTATTATAACTATTATTACATTCATTTTAGTCGCAATAAGTTACATAAGATTTATTTTTTGTTATTTATATGGGGAAAGCCAGGCGAAACGACTGCTAATTGTTCCCTTCTTATACGCAAAATTGCTGGTTATTTTTAAGCGTTTAATTCCTTTCGTTTTCTATTCGTGGCCTTGAACTACGTTAGTTATAAAAAGACGACAATGATATAGAATGATAATAGATAGGACAAAGGAAACTGAAACAACTTGAAACCTATATGTGTAAGATGTCTTCTAAATTGTTTTTTTCACAGTTGATAAATCCCAGGAAATGAATGCACTTTTATGCACTATTTCAGAGAATGAAAAAAAATTCTTAACATTTTCTTACGAAAAGGTAATAAATATTTTGAGTATTTTGTTAACTGACCCTAAAAGCAATTTCTAGCCAAAAACACGTTACATTATTTATCAAAATTCTTGGGCGATCTAAAGTTGTGAACTACCCTTAGATTAAGTACCTAATCTATTAATAGTTCTGAGGTCAAGTTTTTCTTTCTTGACCTCGACAAAGATTTAATTTTTTTGGCCTGTCCAATAAGTCGAATGTAAATGAAATTTAAGTTAAATCGTTTTTATTCTCGTTCGTCATAATTATGGCGAGAGATATGTAGCTTTTGCTTTACATACGAAGAAGACTGGTTAACGATTGTACCTGGTCACGCATCCATGACTAATTTCTAAAAGCAGAGCAATGCACAGCAATGCGATGAATGCCTTCTATATTGCCTTCAAGTTAATTGTTAGTAGTACGATATGACAATAGCGGTTAAAAAGAGTCTCTTGAATTAGTGAATAGATTTATTTTTTATGAATTAATTTTTAATTGTAATATATATAAAGATTTAGGAACTTTAAAACTAAACATAATCAAACTGTACGTATGCCTTATTATATAGAAAATTATTTTTTCGGCAGAACAGTTGTTTTCAGGTTTTGGAGGCGTGAAAGTAAAATTTCGATTAAAACGTGATTTATAACTCGTATGTTTTGATTAGTAGAATAACGAGTAACGTGCCTTAATGTGTAATAAATTTTACGAAAACATTCCTAACAGAAACGAATAGCATAGTTCATATATATATAAATAATAATATTAAATCAAATATATATATATATTTTTTTTTATTACTATGACTTAAGTGGGATTTAATAAACGTCTAAAAATTATTCAAAATGTGCATTTATTGCCTGTACCTTCCCTTTTTCCCATGCCTTCTACATATTCCCATCAACGGAAGATAGAAAGGAATGATACTCCGTTTGTCTTTTGCCTATCTATTGTTAAGGAAAATATTGTCGTTTGCATATTTTCTGAATTTGAGAAATATTTATTTATATATTTTAACAAAATTAAAATCAAGAGGAGCAGTAGCAACGAAAATCGCCACCTCATTGCGAAGTGGAATATATCAGTGATTGTTTTTATATACTAGGCAAAAAAAAGAATTGAGTTACGGGTGTCATGTTTAAAAGCATCATGGTATTATTATTATTACTGTACCCTATGTCAATTATGAAACGGGGATATATTAAGTTTTGTTCCGATATGTGCAATTATTTCTCTGTACCAGGCATTATTTATCTTAACGGTTGAAATCTCAACTAAGATAGAGTTTTCAATAAAGCCAATACCCTTAGATGCTAGTGCTTTAAGACTTTAGTCTTGGAATTTATTCCCTAGCTAAATTTATAATAATAATAATAATAATAATATGATATATTTATTATATTTGGAATAATATTCTAAACTGAGATTTCCATATAAATGCCTATAAGGACTTGCGATCGATCAAACTGTACTTATACCGATTGATTCAGAATCACTTTCTGATTTATTTGAAGCGTGTCTGTCCGTCTGATGATAGCTCGAAAAAGTAAATTGGCAAAAAAATCAAACTTGCCAAATTTGAACCAAGTAGATATATATTAGTTTGGGGAAAAAGAAATCCATTATTTTAGATGGCTGCACTGATAGATTTCTCGCATCGATCAAACAATTTCAGATTTATGCTCGCTGGAAAGGTGACATTTCGCAGTAAAAAAAAATCTTTTGCTGTTTTTTATTTGGTGCATTCAATTGTGAGTTACAGCGTGTTAAAAATGGAAGTGAACAAAGAGAAAATTCGGTACATTTTACAGTTTTTCTTTGACAAAGGCGAAAATGCAAGCCAGGCGGCTAAAATTGTGAATGGTGTTCATGGTTCCGATACTGTAACAGCCAATTATGTGCAATTTTGGTTTCGTAGATTCCGTTCAGGAATTTTTGATGTTAAAGATGCACTTCGCACAGGTAGGCCGGTCGTCGAAAATGTCGATAACATCGGAGAAATGATCGAAGTTGACCGGCATGTTAGCAGTCGTAACATCGCCCAGGAGCTAAAAATCGACCATAAAACACAAAGCTGGATTCAAAAAGAAGCTCGATGTTTGGGTGCCACACCAATTAACAGAAAAAAACATGATGGATCGAATATCCCCCTGCGAAGCCTTAGCCAAACGGAATGAGATAGACCCATTTCTTAAACGAATGGCGACTGGAGATGAGAAATGGATCACATACGATAACCCTGTGCGAAAACGATCGTGATCAAAGAGCGGTGAAGCACCTCAAACGGCCAGGAAGGTTTTGCTATGCATTTGGTGGGACTGGAAGGGGATTATTTATTATGAGTTGCTTCCATATGGCCAAACTCTATGGCTAAATTCTGATCTCTACTGTCAACAACTGGACCGTTTGAAGATAGCGATTGACCAGAAACGGCCAGAATTGGCCAACAGGAGAGATGTCGTGTTCCACCAGGACAACGATAGGCCACATACATCTACAGTGACTCGCCAGAAACTTCGGGAGCTTGGTTGGGAAGTTTTAATGCATCCGCCATACAGTCCGGACTTGGCACCAAGCGATTATCATCTTTTTCTTGCATTGCAAAATTTCTTTAATGATAAAAAATTGGAATCTAGGGAGGATTGTGAAAATCGACTACTAGAGTTTTTTGCAAATAGAGACCAGGATTTCTATGAGAGAGGC